AGAGCCAGGCAATAGCAGCAGTTCACGCTAAACTCATTGATCTTGTCAGTTTCAACTCTATTAACCCTATTAGGACAGAGTAGAACTGCCCATTGGATCTCCAACGCTATAATTTTTTGCAGATTAAACATAAGATCAGCTGGTAAGTTCAAACTCCCAACCTTTTGATTAGTCACTAGGACTTGTCAGTTCACCTTGTTATTGAGTACCATCAAGTCAGAAACAACTCAGTGGGTTTTCAGAGACAGCTGGTGGATTTGAACCATATACCTTTGGACTGGCAGTGCAGTTCCTTAACACTAAGCTACCAAAGCTCTCTAGTGATACTGAAAGATCTGTGTGTCCCCCAGTCTGGCAGAAAGAGACACAGATGTGGCATTTCCTGACATCTTCTATCCTCTATTGCAAGAACTGACCCAGACCCAGATCTCCACCGGGGTCAAAGCCTGCCTTCTTCTGGTCATATTAACAGAAACTGAGCAGGAAATCTACCCATACTAGGCAGTCTGAGAACAAGCCAAGGGAGATGCCTCCGACCACTGCAGGCGGCTGTGAAGTATTATTGGAGTTACAGCCCAACACGTACAAGCCAGCATCCACACACTAAAATAGGATGACCGACTAAAAAATGCAAAAGTTAAGTAGGATCCGGAGTCTCCTAAAATAATATTAAAAGTTAAAAGATTTAAAAAAAGTGTAAAAGATACAGTGAAAAAATCACCCCCTTACCAAGAGCCATGAATATCACAATTTAGGGTATGTTGATATTATGTAAGGAGGAATTTTAAAGCAATAATAATAAAATTATTTTCAGGAAGCAATTTTTCATTCTTATGAAACCATTAAAAAGTAGAAAATCTCAGCAAAAAAAAATAGAAGTTATAAAAAATCTTTTTTTAAAAAAAAACAAGAACCTTATGCCTCTTTAGGAATGAAGATGTCAAGGCTTTCTTAACTAAGGGAGGCAGAGTGAATTTACTGTCGTATTTAAGGTGGTGATTGTCACTGTTTGCTGTATAATCAGTTCTGATGATGGCAACACCCACAGGATGAGTCGTAGAACTGCTTCATAGGGTTCCCAAGATGCTGCGACTTTTTAGAAGCAGATCACCAGTCCTTTCAAGATGTCACTGGATGACCTGCAAGCTTAAACATTTCCAGCACCCAAGGACCTTAGGTTACCAGAAAATCTACTACCCTTAATTCTGTAAGGAACTAAATAATCAAGTTCTTAATTATAGTTTTTTCCCTTCAATATCATTTATTATTTAATGATAAATTTTATCTAATAATACATTTTATATAATGCTAAACTTTCTTTCTCTCTCTTTCTGTGTGTATTTCTTTTCTTCTCTCTCATTTTTTGTTCTTTGTGTATGTTTTAACACCTAGGATAAACACAATTTGTAGAAAACTACAAATAAGTATACTGAAAAACCCTATAAGAAGAAAAAAAAACCCTGCTAAAACAAACCCTGTAAGAAGTGAAATTGGGATTCTAAAATATGTTTACACACAAAGACAAAGAGAAGAAGACAGAACAAACAATAAAATGGCAAATTTACATCATTACATACCAAAAATTCCTTTTGGTGTAAATATTACAGTTAAAAAGAGAAAGAATGTTGTTGTTATGTACTGTATCAAGTTGGAACCAACTTAGAGCTGACTCTCCAGCAGGTTTTCAGAAGAGATTACATAACTTTCTTCTGTGGAGCAGCTGGTGGATTTGAACCAGGTGCTTTTGGATTGGCAGTGCATCTTCTTATCACTAAGTTAGCAAAGCTCCTTAAAAATAGAATAGTAGATTTCAAAACGTTGTTGTTGTTATGTGCTGTCGAGTCGCTTGCGACTCATAGCGACTCTATGTACAACAGCCCTAAACTCCGCTCTGTCCTGTGCCAATCACACTGTCTCTGACACTCCCATCCCAATTATCCCAGTC